CACTATAATGGTGAATTGTGGTGGGAGCTTACTAACTTATTTCTTTTCACTATAATGGATGCTTTCAGTTGTCAGGTACTTATTATGTGGATGACATCTTTTGTACTACTAATAAGAAAATGAGTATTGGTTGAGTTCTAAAATATCTTTTTTTTTTTGGTTTGGTAATCAATCTGTCGTTTTCTTCATGTGCTTTTCAAGTGAAAAAATATGAAAAGGTCAATAAGCATTCTTTCATCCAGTAATCACAAGTGAAGGAAAGTCAAAGATAAAAGTTAGCCTAACTCATTGTACAATTTGGACTCGGTTATGAGAGTTCGTCCTTTTTATTTAGTCATCCGGTTAGGCGCTAGCTCATTTTTGTTAGTAAAATGTTTTTCTTAATTTTATATTGTAATTACTAATCTATTAGGAAACAATGATCATAAATTTATAGTTGAATTATTGAATGAGGGTTTCAGTCGAACCCTAGAAGAGAAAAATTAGTCACGCGGTTTCTAAATTATCCAAAATCTTGATAAAATTTGGCGTCGTTATGTTTCTTTTGTTCGAATTTCATCACAAATAGTCAAAGAGTATAATAAGAAGCTTGGAAAAAATCAATTATTATTCCGGTTGTTTTGTTTTTCTTTCTATAGGGATTACATGTATTACGTTTCTAGTTGTTAAAAAAGACAATAAAGGAATTTAAGTGCATAAGAAGAATGTATAGAGGTTTGTTGAAGATGAAGAATAGATTTTGTGATAATTATGTGAACTGTGTCAAACAATTTCTAGGTGTCACTCAAATTTGTGCCGATGCACATGAGAAAGAAAAACAAATTTGAGCGACACCTAGAAATTGTGAACTATGTCAAACAATTTCTAGGTATCGCTCAAATTTGTGCCAATGCACATGGTAGAATTATGGGTCAATGCAATAATTAGTATTTTAAAAATTTAGATATCATGAAAAACGATATATTTTTTAATGGCGTGTAGTGGATTACTCAATATGGTTATATCATGGGGAGGGTCTTGAGATTGGTAGGACTAATGATACGAATCATATTTTAAAAGAGATTGATCATAATGATAATGATGATTTGGATATGGAAATGTCTTTCATGTTAGATGATTTGAGTCCAACTATCGCTGCACATATGGATGACAAAATATACCCATATTTTGGGTATTCCCCAAATCCAATTCATCATGGTTAAAATCAAGTTTGAGTAATATCACTTGTGTGTCATACCCATCTATTTAGTTTGAATTTAAATTAGACCCATTATATTTGCTACCCAAAAGAAAATGAACACTGAACTCTGATTTTTGTATTTGTTTTAATTAAAAAATAAATATAAATGTGAAAACATCAACTTTGAAGATGTGAATTGGTTGAAGGTAAATAGTTAGATGGTCGATATTTCATTTTGTATGTATAATTATATAAACTCATATGAGTTTGACCTAAATGGATTAATCTAAATTGGACCCGTCCCAAACCCAAAATTATTAAGAGTATATATGAGTTAATATTTGAGACCAACTCAATATCTATATGGGTCTTGCCCATTGGGTCCAATTATCCAATGGGTCTACCTATTGTCATTCCTAGTTCCACAGTTTGGTAAGACATGTTTTTAATATGTGAATGAGGGTACAAGTCAAGAAAATTTGGATCCAAAATTAACTAAACTAACTAAAGATTCTAAGGGTCCGCTTTATCTTGGGTGTAAAACTTTTTCAACATTATCCTACATTGTGAAAATGATGGCAAAAATTGTTAATCAATAGTAGCAATAAATCATTTAACTTGAATTTGCATCTATTCAAGAATGTTTTATTAAATGAAGAGAATTGTCTAGATTCATATTATGAGGTGAAGAGGTGTATTCATGATCTTAGGTATGGTTATACCATCATAGGTGCATAGCCTAACAATTGTCTTGTTTCGAGGTCCTCTCCGAAATGAAAAAAATATCAAAAGGGTAAAATAATCTAGGTATAAATTCGAAAGATGGAAGGAGATTATCGTTAAAATAACTAGGTATTTTCCTATAAAGGATATGCTAACCAGGTTATTATGATAAAAGACATTGCCAAAGATATGTGGTGGCATACTGAAAAACGTAGTGATGGCGATTTTCTTAGACATCCATCTGATGTAGACACATGGAAATTTATTGATAGAGACCATAGTTGGTCCACTATCGATCTTAGACACAAAGAAATCTATGGGTGAGAACATACATGTTTATCTAGAACCCCTAATAGAAAATTTGGAAGAATTGTGAAAGGATGAGGTGAAAGCTTATGACACATACTCTAAGAAAATAAAATCACATATTAAATAACTGTGAAGAAATCGAAATGTTCGTTTGGATGAGGGATTTGGGTGAGAGATTTTTATTCAATCTCTCATCGCGCTAGATTTTGGAAGAATTACTCATTTGATACATTATGAACAAGGAGTTTTAGACATGCCAAATTTCAAAACCCTATGTGTGTAGCCTTTCAACTAGTTTGAAATCCCACACATTTTCATCAACTTATCCCTAAAATATCCTTAACATTATCTGCAAATCCTCTCAATATCACTATCTTCCTCTCCCACTCTACACCTCCCCTCCTTAATCCCTCAAACATTGCTAATCCAAGGCACGATCACGTGACACACCAACAACTGTCAATAGTGACCATGCCCCCCATGAGTGGCAAAATGATTTTCAGACTATGACGTCGGTGATCTGGATGAATCTTCGCAACCTTTCTTCCTTCTACTTGTGCTTCTATGTACTACTTCAGCCACAAGATTTTTGGGATGGTGAGCTAAGTTTTGGCCAAAGTGGTTTTGAGATTTGCTGAGTAGAGTTATTGGGATTTTTTGGGGAACATCATATTGAGATATACGAGCAGAGTTTTGAACAAAGTGAAACTGGCTGAGAAATTGGCTCCTCCCTTGTAGGTAGAGAGAGAGTGGGGGTGGGAGTCAAGAAAGTGTGAGAGAGCGTGTCTTGTTTTGGGTGAGCAAAGAAAAAGAGAAGAAAGAGAGAAAGAAAAAACAACTCTTTCTTCTAGGATTGTGTTCTACTGGTGAAGAGGAAGAAATGAGGAAGATGAAGAAGCAAACCATGAACCGCCAAGCTTCCAGAGCCATTTTGGGTTTCACTGGACTCAAGTCAGTTCACGGTTACGACCGTGAACTCAAGCCAGAGACCGTGAAGTGCATTAATGGAACAACGCGTTTTGACTCGAGTTCACGATCCCCGCTTTCAGTTCACGGTCGTGAACTAGGACAGTGAATAGAGCCCGATCTAGGTATAAAAGGAGGCCTGAGCTGAAAGAGAAGGGGGGTTGGACCTTGAGTGAGAAAAATCCTTCTTCTTCTACATTTTAGAGAGAGAAAGTGACGAACAAGAGGCATGAAGAAGCTAGGGTTTCAACCCAAGGCAAGGATTTGGGAAAATCTTCCCCAAAGGAAGACATCATCCACACAAGGAAGGATTCAACCAGCTCCATGATGGTTTTTATTCTTTCTCCTTGTGTTTTTCCCTCTCCTAGCATGACGTAGTTTCCCTTGTCACTTGGGTGTTTGTGAACCCTAACTCCTAATATGTGATTGATTGTATGGAATGATTGTGTATGTGTGGGTGTACTTTAATACGAATTTGGAGGTATTTTCATGAAATATTGTGTTGTATGTTTGCCTATCAATCTAATTGTTATTCTAACCTAGGTAGAGAGAAAACCTCCTTTGTTTAAAGAGACTTGTAAAGCTGGGTTTTCTTAGGCAAATCATGTCTCCTATCTAGGTTAACGTAGGGCATCCCTCTTTGTTTGTATTTGCACCTAGGTTGATTGTGGTTTACCGACCGAATTTCAATTCGAGAGTGAAGAATTGGTAGCCCTTAGTCGGCTAGGCCAAGAGAGCTACATTGGTAGCTTAATCCGACTTCCTTGGTCTAGAGACAGAGAGAGTGGTTTTCTACCACTAGCTACACTTTCCTTGCGGTACATAATCGCCTCCACCACACATCCTCAATTATTCCGACAAATCATGGTAGCGAGTTAGGGGGAACTACACCCGGGTGAACTCTTCACATTTAAAACAATCAAAGTAGGGGTATATGAGCCGGGCCGGGTCGATATTTAAATATATTTGCCTTATATTGCACAAAATTAAGGTTTATACTTAGATCCTAATTGGAAGTTTTGTTATGATATTCGGGCCGAGGATTCTGCTATAAATCTTATATTATTTACTAAAGGCTTTCTAGAAAGGGTGCCTAATTGAAAACCTGGTCCTGAAGATGATTCATCGAACCCCAATGATTAATCTCAAATTAATGTTGCTGGTCAAAGACTACACATAGTTCAAATCACATTATTGCATGTGGTTTATTCATTCGGCACATGAAAGAAGAAGCTAGAATCTATAGCTTAAAATTGAGCCTAACTTGAGAAATTACTTGTATAGCTCATAAAAGCAATTTGATTCCCACTGCCAAACTTCTTTCATCAACCTTCATTACATTAAGACTGAAAGTTGGTGAAATGACATTTGCTAAAATATTCCTTCTTCCACTTTGTGCTCGAGTTGCTTTCATTTGTTGCATTACTCCATTAAGAAGATTCATCATTGCTATTTTACAAAGACCGTTTCTTATTTTCTGTTGCTAAACAAACGAGATATGGACACCTGCAATGCAAATGATCCTTACTAGGCCGGTAATTGGATATTCGACCAAAGGTCAAATAAAGTTGCTGCTAACATGCCATGAATAAAAAGTATCTTCAGTCATTCTTAAACATCAATACTAATATTCAAAAGCCAAAAGCTTTTTTTCAATTCTCTAGATTCTCTTCTTGCATACCATTGGATTACTAATATATGTTTGATATTTCAGCAAAGTTAAAAGGAAAAGAAGAATTGGATTCCACCTTATCACTTGACAACATCACATGATAAGGACTCTATATAAGCTCCAAGCACCATGATCAAAAGAACACATCCATTTTCCCCCAATTCGATCGATTACCACATCTCAGTTCTCTTCATCATCAAATGTCATCCAGAAATAGCTTTAACCAGCAGTACTACAGCCGCGAGGCATCATCAGATGACTATGGATACTGCTACTATCCTCCGAAGAGGGAGGAATTAGTTATGCCGCGATACGAAAGAGCTTCGTCGTTGCCATCGTCTAAGGTCTGTGTTACGGTTGGTGATGAAAAGATTTGCAGTGAAAATGTTGACAGTGTAGCTGAAGAGTTCATAAAAATGGAGCACAAGAAGTTTGAGTGGAGCAAGACCATGTCCTCCCTCAGCTTTGGCTAATATACTTGAGATTGCTAGTTATGAAAGGTATCATAATGATACTAAAGGAACTACAAGTGAAATAATGTTTATGTTTTTTTTTCTTCTTTTTTGTTCTTCCACTTGAATCTTTGGATTGAAGTTTGCAACTTTTATTTTGGGCTGGAAATAATTCCTCAGGAACTATACTGATTCTGATACATTGTATTATTGTTTCTCTGTACAGAAACATCTTATATATAAATATAATAATAAAGACTGTTTCAGTATAATTTTAAGTTATTCATAGAATATTTTGCGTTCAAATTACGGTTTAACAGCAGTAGAACATTCAATATCGATAAAACCATTATATCGGGTTGGAACACAGGTATAAAATGCTTGTTATCCTGTCCTTTTTCTTAAATTTTATTCAATCCAACTCATTTTAATTTCATAGTACCTACATCAATGCAATTCACTTGCAATGACATATATTGGGTTTAAGTGATTTTATAATAAATAAAAGTGAATAAATCAAGAAAGAAAAATAAATTTGTACTTTTTTATATTTTTGTATGTGGTTTGTCTTTTCAATTTCATTTAATGCAAATTTTGCATATTTGCAATGACCACTACATTAATGCAATCCTTTTGTAATTGCATAATCCTTTTGTAATTGCATATTGAGTGCATATAGGATTTGCAATTGAGCAAATACTACATTAACTGGACAAATTGCATATTGAGTGCATATAGGATTTGCAATTGAGCAAATTGAAAGAAGAAAACCCACTAAAGGGCCTGTACTGTGCGCCAAGACTGAAACTACTGTACATACAGACTGAAATTACTGTTACAACTCGGAAGAGATTTCAGTGTGGGAGGGTGCAGCGTGTTCTCTGATTGGTTTCGGATGACATGTTCTCTTTGAACCACTGATGGGACGGCTGGTTCGTTGGTTATTTGGGTTTTATGTGAGAGGTCTGTTTCAGCTTTCCTTGCACTCTAACAGACGCGGTCACACATTGGTTACATGGAGACTGAATGGGCCCATTGTTGATCTTTGTGCCTGCGCATTGGTCATCACGTCTTTGGATGAGACTTGGGGTGTCTCAAGAAAAGAGAGAGTCAGAGATATTTTCTTTCCTTGGTGGATGTAGCACCACGTATTCCTTCCTAAGCGTCTCATTTTACTTAATCGGCGCAGTCCCCTATGTGAACTCCACTCATTACTTTTTTTTCCCTAGAGGCCCTATTAGTTGACAGGGGTGGGAGAAAGTAAGAAACCTCCTTCAAGTGTCTCCTCTCTCTCTCTCTCTCCTCATCGACGATCTTTGTGAACAATCACATAAGAACCACCAAGCATCGCCGGTGGCTATAGTCAGCACGCGAATCCCTTCTCAGTCGCAGGTATTTTAGAGTTTTCAATCCCCAATTCCCAGTTGCTTGATCTCGAGTTTATGTTCCCCTTATTCTCTTTCAATCGCTTAATAATTTTTGAAATGGAACTCGGTCGCAGAGGAGCAGGACTGCCTGATTTTCTCAGCTGAAGCAAGTGGAGATTATGTGACCTTCACCTACGCTGGCGATGGGGAAGAGGGTAAGCGTTTGAGAATTTTTTTTATATACTTTTGAGTTCCAGACCATAATTGTCCAATTTCATCTCTTTAGCTCCAGAGACTCATTTCCCTTTTCCTTCTTTCTTTCTCTTCGCTCTGCACTGCCACTTCGAGCAGATACCTCAGAGCTACTGTACTACAGCCGGAAACTATGATTGGAGCGATTCACGTCATGAGCGCTAACCGGATCGGAGGCGGCAACTGTGGACTCTAAATCCATATCTTGATTTCCCCCACAATCTTAGGTTTCTGGTGTTTTGGTTTTAGGTTCTGCTTTCTTTTTTGCTTTGTGCTTTCTCTTTGACCAGTTAAAACTCGATAGGCTCATTCTCCCCATTTTCATGTTTTGTGATTACTTCTTACTCTCTCTTGAGCATGTTTTCTAATTTCTAGACGGGTTGGTTCAATCTTTTTGGAGACAGCCATAGCGGATGGTGATAAGATTGATGTCAGCGGAGAACAAGCTGATGAATTTTCACCGCCTGTTACTCCCGATTCAGCTAATCGCTCTCTCTCATAACCAACCATCGATGGTCAATCTGTTGTTGTGTCTTTTTTTGGATTATGAGGGTACCTTAATTTCTACTTTGTGGATATGATCCTCTTTTTCTTAGCTCATCCTGCTTATTGTACTTGTGTAGATATACTCTCTGGTTTTCGTCTCCTTTCTATCTTCTGTTTCTCCCTTTGGTAGTTCTGGTTGATGGTTACTGTTTGTTTTGGTGTTCTTGCCTCAGTTCCTTTATCTTAATAGGTAGGCACCGGACATTCCTAGCTCTGTATCTATCCCACGAGGTATCAAGTATCAACCATGTGAAATGCATATCATTGAGGTAAATTTCTCCGGGATAGATGATATGATGTCTTTGTTGGTTTCATCCTTTTCTATGAATGCCTATATTAGATTAGTATTCTCTTTGCTGCAATCTAATGCGATTGTTTAAATCAATAACACATAATGATATGACGCACCACTTTGATGGTATGAGAAATCCGGAAGCTCTGTAATACAACTGTTTTTCCTTAGTTTCTATTGCGATAAGCCTAATTTTAGAACAATAATGGCAAACCATTGAAATAAATAAACGCCCTTCGTGTTTGATGCTTTTTGGATCAACTAATGAAAAAGTTTCTTTCATCTACTGAGTTTTTGCCTATATATTGCTAGATGTCTTTGTTTCCTCTCTTTATCTAACTTTTCTTATGGTTTCCAATACCCTTGCAGCAGCAGATTGAAGCTTTGGGGTTTCTCTGGGTTCTTTGACAAAGCGTTTTTATTTTGTACTGAAAGATTGTGTCGGAATAATTAAACAATGTAATAATTATTTGGTCTTCGCAGTGACTGTACCTCTGCTAAAAAGCTTTGTTTGCTATGGATAACTGTTAAGCAACCCTCGGTAATCAAGACTAAATGTCGTGGCCTAAAAAATGACTTCCTTTGGTCAATGTTTGGCACCTTTTATAGTTTCCTGCTAGAACATTGTTGTGGTACACCTGTATTTCTTTGCACTCAAGAAATCTTATACAGTTATTCTACATAACCAGACATTCGTAAAGGGCCTTAACCTATTCCGTCTTCTACTCCAGGGTATACTAATGATGAAATCTCTCACTGTGTGTTCTTCACATAATTTGATTCTTCTAATCAAATTATTGAATGACTGGTTGCCAAGATTTGGAGACTAATTAATGTTGATAAGATTGTACATTAATTGTATAGTTTCATAAATTTACCACAAGTCCCGACGCGGAGCGTGGGCAATAAAGACTAGTACTACATTAACTGGACCACCCAATGGAAACAGAAATCTAAAAATGTAAACATATATGGAACTTTGACCCCCCAAAATCGGCTGTTGACCACATTTCCAACCAATAATGAGATTTTGGGATTTGTTTTTACAGTAAACATGAGCACCATTCATTAAGCAACCGCGAATTTCTTCACTTGCTCGATTTTATCAACTTGAACTCATCATAAGAATTTGACCTATAACTCAAAATTTTCCAATTAAAACAAGCTGCAAGCACAAAATGGTTCCAATCCAATCCCTTCATAAGCATCAGCCAAGTCCCACAACCTGTGGTCTAAAAGAACACCAAGCTCTTAAGAAAACCCAACCAACAGTCCTGAAGGGAGAAAAAACAACACCACAAAGAAGCTCAAGACTGAAAGCTTTTAAGCTACAAACAAACTACATATTTTCTACGGAGAAATCCCTGACAACTTGGGAACTTTTCTCTTTTCCTTGTTTCTGCTAAAGCTTAACCAGAAATACCCTTCCTCCCCCCACCAAATCTACTTGATCGATCGACAGAGTGGGCAAGTAGCGTGCTGGTTATCGAACCATTTCTGCAGACAACCTTTGTGGAAGAAATGCTTGCAAGAAAGCTCACTCACTTCCTCTTCCGCTTGAAACCCACATAAGCAAACACAACACTCCACCGTCGTCGCCAACCAAGCACTCCTTCCTTCGCTGCCCCCGCCATTGTTGGTGCTGGTTGAAGAAGCTTCAGCACCAACCCCACCACTCAATGCCCTGAACTGCGTTATGGATATCCTTCTTCTCCTTCTGCTACTACTAGTAATTCTAATAATTCCGGATCCGCTTTCCTCTTGATTCCCATCAAAGCTGATTGGAGAAGTAACAATCCAGTGAAGCAGAGACCTTACCATGCTCTTAAGCAGGGCAACTGAGAGAACCGTGTTGACCACCAAAAGGGGCAGTACCCCTTCTGAAGGAGTTGGGAAATTAGAAAGACCCATGCTTTCCGGTTTTTTGGAGAAAACCCAGATCGCACAACCACCGAAATTCAATCACTTGGTCCTTCTTTTCCCTCTCTGGGTTCGTTTTGGAGGAGGAGCGGAACAGAGCAAAAACAGAGGAGACATGTACCAACAAATATATACAACTCCAGCTTCCTGCCTTTTTGTTTCTTGTTTATTTTTGAAGAGGGGGGAAAACATGCGGCCTACACTAAACCATCAGTTTCCTGGAATTAACCATGGGTTGGAAGGGAACACGTGGCAACACGTGTAAGGTTTAGGGGGAGAGGGGGAGCTGATGATTGATTCTGCAACAGTTGCCAATGCCATTCTCTTTGGTTTGAAGAAAGAAACAAAGGGTAAGTGGGTATTAATCAAATAATAATAATATTGTTGGCATGGGGAGGACACGTGTTGCTTCAGAGGGTGGTGAATCAAGGAGCTGGGTTGCCTTGTGAGCTGTGGCAACAGGATTAGGAACAGAACAAGAAGAAGGGGTTACTTTCAGTCTACTTGCCACTTGCTTACAATAGCAAGGAAGGCACTTGGGTGGGGAAATCAAAACTGTCTTTCTTGAGGGCTGCCTGAGGGGCCAGTTCCCCTGTTTGTGGCCGATGTTCGTCACAACTGAACATCAAACTCTAATTATCTTTCTATTGTTCATGCCTGCTTCATGAGAGAACTGCATACCTATGATTTCTCCAATATAAATAGGATGTTACAAATTACAGTAAATAGATTCTAAGCATATATTGATATATATATGTGTGTGGCCTCACGCCCTCACCTACTAATCTGCCGTAAATGATGGGTAGTGTACATACTAAGGGTGTCCCTATACTGTCACAATTTGCATCTTCTCCAAGTTCATATTCTCATCAATGTGCAGTGGAGTTCGATCGCATCGTTCCTAGTTTCTTGAAGTACTCATTTTCTGCACTCGCTACTCGGTTCTGAAACATGGTCCATTCCTTCCTGCATCGCTCGCTAACCTGCTCGAGATACATCAAAACAACTCGCTTAAGTAAGACCATCTGCAGCTGTAATAATGGAAGGTTGTGCAAAGACGGGGATCAAACACACATACCCCTTTCCATGATGGCTTTCCGGCTTTCACCTCACCCTGGGAGAAGGTATCATACACAGCAAAGTAATTGTATTAGTTTTTCCAGTTCAAACGCTTGAGAGGGGTGGGAGAGACAGAGAAGAATGGTGGGAGCAAAGAAAGTGAACAGAAATGAAATAGTAGAAATGGTGTTCTTGTTCTACCTGGTTCCCAAGTGAAGGGACACGTTGATGAACAATCCATTGAGAATCAACAACTCCAATTTTCTCATGGGCAGGCTGAGTTCATACAGAAGCAGGTAGGTCACAAGACTGCTGAGGATCAAGCGTGAAACAAAACAAGTGAAACATGCGAATATACCTCTATACATTTCCTCATCGCAAAGTCCAGACCCCATCCGTGGACCAAGTCATTCTGTGAAATCACAGTTAGGGTTAACAATAAATGACCGAGCAAATACAATAAACAATGTCTGAAAGAAAGAACAACTTCTGGACCTGAATCATGTACCAAACACAACGCCATGCATCTCGAGAGAACACTGGAGCCATGATCTCAACAAAACTGCACCCATAAGAAAAACTCCCTTCAAAACTTAGAAATAGATCTAACAGAACAGAGCAAAACACTCATAAGGGAAGAAGTCCATTACGCTGCACAGGGTGGCACATGAGGGTCTGTGCACCATCCAGGTTTCTCAGTCGTCGTTCTAGTAAATGATTCGCACAAGAATAAAGAAAAGAAAAATTAGCTCACTACATAAGATCCTAGCTTTGCAAAAATACTATACACAGTTTCAATGGTGTCTTTACTTGTGAACTTCTTGATCACCTCTCCTCTTCGTCATCTGCCAGGTCAAACCTTTATTAGGCTCCAACCCAGGCTGTGAGAGCTCCAAACCATGTTTCTTAACTAGCTTAATGTATCTGGTTGAGAGAGAATAAGTACTTAGCAGCACATGAAGATAATAAAATCAGATATAGTCAACAAAAGAGTAATAAATCTAGACATACTCTTCTGCATTGAAATGCTCAACTCCCAAATCCTCATCCCATATGAATATGTAGTCATATGAAGCCACAATATCCGGATGCAAAAATCGCTTTGCATACCACCTATGCAGAAGTTGTGAAACAGAAAGTTAAAACACCAACATTTAATTGAAATCAGAAGGTATAAGAATTGAGTATATGATGTCTTACTAACCACTTTGTCTGCTTTCGAGCACTCACGTGAATAGCCTGCCTCGACCACTCAAACTGATCCCACTCGGAGACTCTACCATCATAGTGAAACAACAGGATTGTAAAGTTTGCTGAGAACTGCAGGATGCAAATTGAAAGTATGCAAATGAGAGTACAAGTTTTGCTATTTATTATGGCCCCAGATATAACTAAATGAAGGGACTACTGACCTTCTTGACACATGCATCAATATTGTGTCTCTGATTGTAACCGACGGTGAAGGTCACAAGGTACTTTGGTATATTGGTTAAATCCTGTAGATTGAAGCATAACAATTCGTAACTTAATATCATGGATTCTCTGAATATCAAATCAAAGAAGCATAACAGAGGTAATTACTTGAATGAAGATTTAACGGGAAAAAAACATTTCTAATACATGTTGCCTTTCAGATACTCTACAATTACAAATGTATACTGGTTGGGCACAATGCAATACAAACCTCACTGGGTTTACCCCACAATCTTCGCAAGTTGAAGTCAGATTCAGCTACAATGATTCCAGGTGGCAACCTCTCTGCACCTCGAGGGTTTGAAGGGATCCAGATCTGTACAAGATAAATGAAACTGGATGATGATAGATCCGAACATGGAAATAAACCATCATGCACTTATTATGTCTGTACCAATTGCTGACAGTTCCACTCAGAGTGCCTTGTAGATGATAAGTAACACGTTCTAAATGCTGGAAGCTATGTGAAAATGTTCTTTTATTAGTTGTTATTGTCCATATAGTATAAAGACATAAGTGAAAATGAGTGATCATCCTTCGAATGTGTACTATTACTTATTGCAACTCCATGCAGTATGAAGATATGATGAAAACAAGGGATCAGCGTTCACATTGCGATGCACTGAATGTATTAACTTAAACAAAGCATCAGTTTCTTAGAATAAGAAGCCCCGTAGAACTTACTTTTGATGTATCATTCAATTTTGCGGAGCTGCTAGTGGTACTGTTGCTTGAACTATTAGAAACTGAATGGGTAGAAATTCCCAACTTATTCTCGCCCATATATGATAAGTCAATTGTAGGAAGAAGGCCAGATGCAAAATTTAGCTGCAAGTGAGAAATAACTCAGAATGTTAATCACATGAGCATCTAGAGGATAAGAAGGAATATAGGTTATTAAACCCATCATCATCTATCTATCTCAAATAACAGGGATAAAAGAATGGAATCACATGGGATAGAAAATAGAACATGTACCATTCTAGAATACCTTTGACACAGATAATGAAGGGAAAGATACTCCAATCAAAAAGCCAAAAACTATTCCCAAGAATGTCGTTATAATAAGCCTCGTGCTGTCATTTGGTTTTTTATTTAGCGCACTGCAAACAGGAATTTACAGATGTCTTAGTAATAATATGCTCACAAAAACTCGTACATCCACAAGGAAACAACAGAAAAAGCGACACAAATACTAATGTCAGATTTATCTGTGAAGAACACTAAGGAACGATCTGTACCTCCGGCTGAAGATTCCCATTATATATACAGTATTTTGCATCTATATTCACAATGAATGCCTGTGACAGCGTATCAAACCAAGGAGCTACAAGTTACTTGAAGGTCCCCAATCTGCAGAAACCAGATATACACCTTCGTGGATGCACTGCTCAACCTGAGCATATGTATGAACAACGGATCATAAAAAGTTCAGTTGATATTCAAAAACTAGGTGAAAGGTAAAACACAGTTTGAGACCTTGCACTCATGAAATGTGTTGCCAGGCATTCACCAACTAGTTAACACTCGAGAGAACTTTGGAAAATATGGGCCTCAATTGATCTAAATACACACAACACAAACAGGCACGTGCACCTTCCCTCATTAGCCCTCAGCAAGCAACACAAACAAGAAGCAAAGCATGAGCCATGTTTTGACAACGTAACGAACGCCACACTTCCCAATTCATTACCTCATAACTCTGCAACCCCTTTGTTTGCAAGCAAAAGACTCGACATAACACTAAGTGCTCTTCCTTACGTTGCACAATATATGCAAAAGTTATCGAACAAATACCATAAACCATTAAAAATAAGTACAAAATTTAGCAGTTCAACTAACTTAGTTTCAGCAGAGCCATAGTTGAACAACTGGTCACTCTAAGACAAAGAAATTAATTATAGACGAGAAGCTAGAATTGGTAGCAGTTAGCAGGTGAACATTAAAAATCCCGACTTTATACTCAGCAAAAACCCAGAGCTGGGGACCCTTTAAGCTAAATTAAACTACGAAAAGCGGGAAATCATTACCCAAAACACCCCAGTTCCCCAGATAACGGAATATATCATCATGGCGAATCAATCAAAGGATCAAGCCAGAGAAGGAAATAAACCTGAACCCACGAGATTTCCCCGAAAGCCGGACAATCGGGAAAACGCGATAGGACCCGTTTGCCCGTCGAGAATCACAAGGGGAAACCAAAAAAATCGCCACCTTCTCGCTCGAAGCCTGTAACCGAACGAAGAAACAGAGCTACTCACAAAACTCGTGATCGATCCTTCCACTCGATCCTTCCTTGTTTATTTTCCAGTATCCACGAGACGCATCACTCTCCTTCCTCCCTCGAAGAATCACGACGATAGAAATGAAAATTACAAGTAAAGGGTAAAGAAAGAATGTTGCCGGGAAAAGGGCCTGAAAATTTGCCTTTCCCCTACTCGATTCGATTCTATTCGTTTTCTTTTTCTCTTGCATATATTATTCTCACAGTTTCTTGGGCCTCTCCGCCTCCTCGGGTTTGCCTCCTCCGCCACCCCACTCCGCTGGAGAAAAACAATTGAAGGAAGTAAGCTGGAAAAAGTAAAGATTTTGGGACCAAAGTGGACGCCGCGATTTTAATCAGGGTTTTTGGTTTTTGATTTGTTCTTTTTCTGTTTGGGTGTTCTCCAAGGTTGTCAAACCGGTTTATACCGTTGTGCCGGTTTGACAAGTGGAATGGTACGACCTGTGGTATAACCAGTTTGTGCCGGTTCATGCCGGTTTAAAAAATTGTGAAAACAATTAATATCCAATGTATTTAATCATATATAAAACATATTTATGGACAATTTAGTTACAATCCAACAAATATCATCAACTTTTAACTATTACATTCATAAAATGAATAATAAATTAAATTTTTATTCATTAAATTCATTAAAATGATGTCATTAAACTTAGAATGCGTAAGTCGATCATACCGGTCATACCGGTGGTGTCATACCGATTTCATGACCGGCACAGGTTGAACCAGGTTCAACCGGGTGGCATGCCACCGGCATGACAACCATGGTGTTCTCCCTTTACGCTGTTTCTTAATTTTATTTGTTTGGTTGTAAAAAAAAAATTAGTTTGATCTATATAATTAAATTATATATATTCCTCGCTTTATTGTAGTGATGGTAATAAGGTGGGCCGGGTACCTTAATATTCATGCTCCGCCCCACGCTATTACAAGTCGGGGCGGGTAAGACCCGCGCGGGTACAGGGCGGGGATTGACCCATTCTCACATGTTATTTCAAAAAAAAAAACACATGCAAATTTTATTTTTTACGATAAAACAAATGGAAAAACACTTTATGAATGAAAAATAGTAATAATAGAATGGGTAATTGAGTCTAATCAGTTGAAAGATCGACTCTAACTAGTTGAAGAAAAGTCAAAATAGGAGAAATATGTATAGATATTCTAAGAAATTGAGGTACAATGGACCAAGAACGGGGCAGGGCGGGTCGGAAGTAGATACCTATGCCCCACCCATTCTAGTGCAGGTCGGGTATTACCCGACCTATTTAAATTGCCACCACTACTTTATTGTTAAATAAAAGCAATATTCACTTGCATAGCCAAAAATTTCGCTTTTGTGCCAATAATAGCCAAATTTGGAGAAATACCACTTATAGCCACTTTCGTCCACTACTTTAATGGTGTTATTTAACAAGTTGACTAGACAAACGAAAATGCTGATTTGGCGATATTATATCAACAACACATCCACGTAGATAAATAAAAAATAAAAATAAATGAATAATAATAATTTTAATAAACCCACAAACCCTATGAGCGTCCCCTTTCTCTCCCTCCAACCTTCCCCTGAACTTCCCTAATCTCACTCTTCCTCCAACCTAGCCGCCGGTTTTCTCCCTCCATAGCTTCCCCATCAATCCTGTAATAAAATCATAAATCAAAGCCACCATCTGCGCTGGAGAGTTTCCGCAGCTTCTCCATCGATCTCCCTCAAACTCTTCTTCTCTCTTTCAAAGCCAACCATGACCCCCACCCCTTCCTAGATGATCTCTTTCTCACCCTCTCTCTTCCTTTCTTGCCTCTTAGAATTATCACACACAAATCCCCGCCGTTGCCAACCCTCCCGCCGCACCCACCAGCTCTGTCGCAAATTAGAAGTGCGCATTTGGTGACTAGATACCGGATCTAGAATTCGGCGTACTTGCAGATAACACCGACGAACTCAACAAACCCTAATATCTTTGTTCCAGCTTCAATTAAGAAGTCGTAGAAGAAAGAGAAGAGTTGTGGTAGTCCGGAGCTGAAGAAGGTCGTCGATTTGTAGACAAAGACCATTCGAATCTCGTCGCCGATGTAGCAGGGGAAGCTTTCCTACCACCTAACCCCCCCCCCCCCCCAAGACCTCATTCACTGACCGCAAATCCAAAATGGGGAGCACGATGGTCTTTGCGATTTTTTTTTTTTTTTTTTTTTTGCTTCCATTCCCAAATCCTAAAGGATACAGAGGATCGCCGACGGCTAGGTTGCAGGAAGCTGGTGTGGGAAGGGAGGATGTTGTAGAATGAAGAAAAGGGGAAAGAGTAGTATATTTGTGTAATTATTAATTATTTAGGCAAAATAATATATTTTTTAAGGAAAAATAGGATTGGGGGAGTTAAAGTAATTTTTAATTAGTTTTTTGTGTAATTATTAAATATATTTAATATACGACGTGTTATTTTCTGCTTATTTGGCGCTGACAAGTGCATAGAGTAGGCGCCTAGTCAACGAACCGTTAAAGAAGTTGACGGTGTTACAAACACCGTTAAAGTATCTAACGAAAATGGTTATATTTGTCCTTAAACAACTAAAAATCTGGCTATAAGTGGTATTTCTCCAAATTTGACTATTATTGGCACAAATGCGAAAGTTTTGGCTATACTAAATAAAATAGTGAATATTCCAATTTATTTACAAAAATATCTCTAAAAAGATACATATTCTAAATGTAGCCATCTTTTGTATCTATTTCCCAAACTAGTCACCTAGCAATTTTTGTGGGCGCTAGAATTGGGACACCTTTGAGCCGGCCATATTTCAAAACAATCATGTAACCTTTTCTTCTCACAAACTAATACTCAAACTTCAAAAAACAACTCTTCTTCAGTTTAAGGCTCTGATACCAACTATTGTGAGTCTGCTCCTAATCAGGAACTACTCATGGATTGTTTATGAAGTAGAAGAATTATTATGTTCTCGTCGAATTTTATTCAACCTCTCAAATTCAGATGTAATTCAAGAACTAGCAGCTAATCCTAAAGTGGATTTACTCTTGAAGATCAGGTCTTTAAATTCACTATGTATTAGAGTCAGTTATGGGGACTATCATCACATGGTGTCGTCCATTAGTGTTTGACCTCTTTTGGACAACTGCTCTTCAACATTTTTTGTGGTCTTTCTCCACTCTGCAATTGTGTCTGGGTGGATATCGAGATTAGAATCTCTATCACAAATCCTCAGTAAGAGAACCATCATTTTGTCTTTTCCATTTTTTACCAAGTCAGGGTCCATATAACAAATATATCTGGTTCGGAGAACCACAAAGGCTTTGCCTGACTTAAGGACCACTAAACCATCTGCCTTGGCTATGATTACTTCTGCACAAGCCTTGAAGAATTCAATCTTCAAAATTTTCTCCATTGTATATTGATTTTTATGCTCCTCATATTTTGCTTGTAACTCATGACTTATTTGAAGTTGTGGTGTGATAATTTTCTCAGTTCCAATGGGATAGATTTCCCATATTTGATAGGGGTGAAACACTTGCTCCTCGTTGCCTTTCTCTTGAACGGTGCTTGTGATCACACACATGACCTTCTTTGAAGAACAACCGAGTCAACTCAAAGAAGAACATCCGAGCCAACTCAAAGCTTGCAGAAAAATAGGATGCAAATTATTAATTAAAGTAATTTGATCTATGTTGATTTCCACGACTTCTGCTAATCCAGCATTAATGGAGCTCTTGCCTTCCATTAACATGTCTGCAGTAATGTGTAGACTTGGTCATCCATTATCATATCTTAGATATGGATGAAACGTAGAATTTTCTTAATTGAGGGGCCGTGCCAAGCATGACACAAAATAAATGGGCACGAAACTTGCCCGTGCCGTGCTGGCCCAAGCACGGCCCAGCGCCCACGTACACTTGGAACATAGCCTTAAGAAGAGTCTCTTTTTCTCCTAGCAAAAGAAGGAGACTCTTCCAGGTCTCCCCTTGCTTATCATTGCGTTAGATGAGGAAGTGGAAAGTCTCTTTCTTCGATATCCCCCATTCCGTAGGGACCCCGAGGTACTTAGAGTGGCAGTTAGTACTAGAGAATCCAATTGTATTGATGAGAAACTCTTGTGCCTCTCTGGATACATTATGACTGAAGAAAACCGATGACTTATCCCTATTAACTTGTTGGCCACCTGGAACAGCCTTAAGAAGAGTCTCTTTATCTCCTAGAAAAACAAGGAGACTCTTCCAGGCCTCCCCTTGCTTCTCCATGTGTTAGATGAGGAAGTGGACAGTCTCTTTCTTCGATATCCTCCATTCCGTAGGGACCCTGAGGTACTTGGAGTGGCAGTTAGTACCAGAGAATCCAATTGTATTGATGAGAATCTCTTGTTCCTCTCTGGATACATTATGATTGAAGAAAATCGAGGACTTATCCCTATTAACTTGTTGGCCTGTGACCATGTGCGCACCTTGACCAGTGCACTAGGCCGAGAAATCTCGGCCATGTTCGACCCATTACTGTTGATAATACTCATAGTCTTCTCCGCCTCCACCACTGAAGCTTCTCTGAAAATAACTATGTCATTAGAGAAGAGGCAGTGGGTGAGCAGTGGGTAATTTCTTTTGAATTTGAGTCCTCTGATCTCCTGCATTCTGACCTATTTTTCAATTCAAAAAGAGCAGCATTGGACATAAGGACGAATAGAATATTAGAGAAAGGTTCTCCTTGTCGGATCCCTCTTGAGGGTAGGAACTCGAAATTTGGTTCACAATTGAATAGCAGGTTGAACTTGACTGTGCTGATGCAAGCATGAACCCATCCACACACACATTGGTGAACCCATAGGCTCGAAGAATTTCAATAAGGTATTTCCACTCCACCAAGTCGTATGCTTTCCTCATATCCAACTTCATCATCATGTCTCTTCTATTACCAGTTTTGTGTTTCTTGAAGTGGTTAAGCACTTCGTGAACAATAATGATGTTATCCTGAATTTGTCTCCCCCTCTATGTAGGTTGTTTTCATATCATTAACCATTCCAAGTAGCCATGGTTGTAACCTACTAGTCATGATTTTAGTGATAACCTTATACCAAAAGGTGCAGCAGCTAATTGGACGATACTGACCGATGCTTTCCGGCACATCCACTTTGCACGAGGTTGATAAATGTGATATCCCATCCCTCCGGCATTGTAATTGTTTGAAAGAACTCTACAATCTCTTCGAAAATAGGGTCCCCGATTAAACTCCACTACTTCCTGAAAAATAGACATGGGAACCATCATGGTCAGGTGCCTTGTTGGCCCCTAGCTCGAAAATGGCCTTCCTGATTTCAATCTTGTCAAGAGGATTCGTAAGAGCTTCATTCAGAAGAGAATGGTCTAATTTACCCCCTTTGCTTGTAAATAACTCCAGGTAAAATCCATTGGCATGATATCCCAACATCTAATCATTCTCTAACAAATTAACACATGATTCCTTCAGCCTTAGAATTCTGTTAG